ATATATATATATATATACACATATATATATATATATATATATATATATACATATACACGTATCCTTAAACAATGTATTATATTAATACATATATTTTGTATATAAACCATTATTATAAATAAGCCTACTTGCTAGAAACATTAATATGAGATTCTATATGGCTGATAACTGATAAATGTCTGATATTATAATTTTATGTATTTTTTTTATAAATGAAACTAAATTCAATCATTTTATACATTACAACTGAATTTAGGCATCACAACATAAATATACAGTATGAAAAATCGATTGAGATTTACTAAAAATTACATTTAATAGTTATGAAATTATTAAAGATTAACTTAAGTACATATTAGATAAATATAAAAATACAGTTAATGTTATTTATTTTATACATTTTAAAATTAAGGTTGGGTATTGCTGTTAGGATGTTGCCATTCTTTATTGTATATAATACATTCTTTATTATTGTTGTATATAATATTATTTTATTGTATGTAATATATAGTGTACACGGCTCATACACAATATACATCTTTTTATGGAAAGGGATTCAAGAAATATTAACTTGGTAATATCTAAAGTATAGTGTTAAAAAAAGCAGTGTTCAAAAATGCTACTCCATGTAGCAGAAGGCTTAGAAGATGATGCACCGCTCCGGGTAACGGAGCAACATAAAAGCATTTTTAATCCAGATTTTATTCAATTATTCACCCAATCTGATTTCTTCTCATCCAGATTTTATTCAATTATTCACCCAATCTGATTTCTTCTCTCTCTCAAGTTTGCCAGCAGCATAGTAAGTGTTTGTAGGAAAGTTAGCAACGGACAGTGTTAGCAACAGTAACTAAGGAGGGTGGGGCCAAGCAAATCCATAGTTCCATGACAAACAGCTTTTTTCTAACAAGCTCTTCCTCTATTTCTTACTAGTATGTAAAGAGATTGAAACAGCCATCAGGTGCACAAAATCACAACAAAAAGTACACAGAATTTATTGTTGCGAGTTTTGTTTCACTCGCCCCAACTAAATTCTGGAGTAATAAAATATGCTTCTTTTTCTGACATCAACTGCTTTGAAAGTATGTTTCCATATTACCACTGAGTGTTTGACTGCTGCAAACATTAAACTGAAAAATATGCTGCAGACTTATTTCAACTTGGTTTGAATTGCGAGCATATTTTCCCCTCTTCAGAATGATTGTTTTTCATTGGAGATTAAAGGTGTGGATGAGCTCGAACATCTGCATTTGCTTAAACCACCATTTTAGTCAGAAAACATGCTCTATTCAATATGTCTGAGAATAAACATGTTCAACCGTTACAGCACAATTTACCTTCAGAAATGCTGAGCAATTATGTAGCAATTATATCTGACACACTGTGAAATGTACACTTTGTACCTTCTCTCGAAAACTACCTTAAATTACCATTAAAAAAGAAGAAGAAAAACTCTTGAATGAGTACCTGCTGCACTCCATCTCCTCGGGCCAGGTGACTCCAAACATGTCCATGAGCTTCTGGCAGTCTCTCTTAGCATGCGTGCACAGGCTCCGGCATGGCAGAGACACGCGTCCATACTCCATACACACGGGCGCATACAGGGCACACAGGAACGGCCTGAGGTCTGGAGAGCACTGCAGGTTCACCATGGGGTGGAAGGGCTGTTGGGGAGGTAGAACAGAGAGTCAGTTCATGCCAAGCGCCCAGAGAGTTTATGACAGATCTCATAAAAACACACTTTGGCTCTGGCAGAGGTTGGGCAGAAAAAGGAACTCCACTGGAGCTGCCTGGCAAGAGTTATGATTCCACAATAAGGGCTTACTGTAGGTAGAAGTGCAAGAAAAAGTCTCAGGCAGAAGTAAACAAGAAATTAAAATGGACCGCTTAAAAATGTACTCCAATATGAGCGATTTGTTGAACAAAGATGTTTGTCTGTGGAATTAAAATAAAACTTGCTCTGCTTTTGTCATCAAGACCTTATATTTTCATCATATAAACACTTTTCACCATCCAATCAATCCCTGATTAATAAAAAAACAAGTCCCATTCGGTTTAAGTTCTATTTGGAAATATGTCACATTTCATTATTAAATGGAATTGCGAACGTTTCAAGCTGAATTTAAGAATTAATCTATTTCCAAAATTAAGCCAGAATCACATATGTCTTCATAACATGTTATTTTATAAATAAAGAATGAAGTTAAGAATATTTTGTATTCCCAAAAACATTTCCAAAGAATGTTCTTTTCTATTTTCTTAAGATTGTTCTAAAGTAAAAAATGTTAAAGATTGTTCTTAATCATGTAAATGCTTTTAAAATCACCGAAAATAATATTTTAAAGTTAGGATAAACTCCAATTTATCTAAAAAAAAAAAAAACACTCCGTCTTGAGGAAGACTCTTTAAAAATACTCGTCAAGCCAGCTGGAATTAATATATTGTGCACGCTTATTATGCTTATGTTTATATTACAGTAATCTGGTAGCGAAAAGAATGGCTTTTTCAAGTGTATTTTGTCATTTTCGCCTTAAGAAAAAAAAATCATCTTAAGAAAATATTTGAGAACTTTTGGTTTTGATTATCTTAAGAAATTACTTAATTTTAAGAATATTTTCATAAGATGTTCTTACAAACATATATGGGAACATAAGAATTTTTTAATAATTTCACTTGGGAACATGCTTACAAACTTCCCCAAATGATGTGGGGATTAAAGACATTTATTTTTATTTATCTTAAGAAATTTCTTGATTTCTTTCTTCAGAAGATTTTCATGAGTGCAGCCCCTGATAACACCAAAGTCTATCATGTTCTTCTTAAAAAATAAAATAAGATGCTCTTAAAGGGGTCATATGATGTTGCTAAAAAGAACATTATTTTGTGTATTTGGTGTAATGAAATGTGTTCATGCGGTTTAAGGTTAAAAAAACACATTATTTTCCACATACTGTACATTATTGTTTCTCCTCTATGCCCCGCCTTTCTTTCCCACACAGTGACGTAGACATGTGGGGGCGTGTTAGAACGAGCCGTTTTAGGTAGGTGTGGCTGACTCTTAACTTTTATAAAGAATATCTCTTTGGATTTGAGACTTTAGTCTTTGCAACTTTACAGATCTTCTTTATGCACCAAGAGCTTGTAACACTCCAAAGAGAAAATAAAAAATTGAAATCGCATCATATGACCCCTTTAAGAAAATATGAGAACTTGAGAATTCTTTAACAATTGCACTTAGGAACATTCTTACGACCTTCTTAGAATTTAAACTTTAAGAAATTTCTTAACTTCTCCCTTGAGAAGAGTTTCGTGCCTCCCAAAATCTCAAGGTGCAAAAAGACAGGCAGGAAGTTGTCTGGGTACAGTAACCTGATGCCCCTTCAGCAGGATTACAGGCCAGTTTGGCAGCTCCAAGGACGCTTTTGTGCCCTAAAGGGGCCCAGTGCATGCTGGGAGAGAGAGCAGCTGCAGAGCTGGGCATTTAAATTCAAATCTTTGAAGGAACAGACAATAAGCCTCCACCTGGGGTTAGCCAATACATATGCACTTCCTGCTGGGGTCTGGCCCTTTGTGACCACCGTGTTTTTGGAAACGAGCTGGGAGATTGACACACCGCAGCATTGCGCTTCATTCCTTCACAGATCGCTCGAGTGAACTTAATCCCTGAGTTGGACAATATTTACAGATCATTTGCATGAATTACGGTTTTCCCACCAAGAAAAAGACACTAGCGTACTGCTGAGAAAACCAGCGAGGAGATCCAGAGCGTCTTAAAAAAGTCCCGAAACAACTTTCTCAAAATTCGCATGATGCAAATGAGCCGTGAATAAAAGCTTTATCAATATTTGAGGAAGGTTATGAAATATTTACCCTGCCTCTGGAGCGGGTGAAATAAAGCAACATCAAAAGAAACACGAGCAGCTACTATCGGCCTCCCGTATGGAAACCCCATACACTTCAGTAATTGAGCTGTACGAACAGAACCTGAATGGCTCTTGACATGTTTTGCCCCCCGTAGATGCCAACTGGACGTTTTATTGACTCCCTGCTCTTCTGTTACACTCAGAAGGAGATAAGAGGGTCGTCTTATGGGAATCGGGCTCGAGTACAACAGAGGAACTGAATTACACCAGCGGTCTTCATTATTTATGTGGATCAGACACGATAGTGTAGTCGTATCGCAACAGGACGCCTTACGGAGGCTCATGTACTACACGCTGAAGGAAACACAACATACAATACACAAACACACAGCTAGCTCTGCAATTATACACAATCTATTTATGAGTTTTAATGTCATTGCACACCCTTTCTTTCTATGACTTTCTTTCTGAGGAAGACAAATGAAGATTTTTTTTGTGATTAAGCATAAAAAACGGCTCTATAAAATTAGTCCATACAACTAGTGCACTATATAAGTCTAAAGTCATAAAATAGCTTTGTGTGAGAAAAACAGAAAGTCAAGTTGATATTCACTGAAAATCTTCCCCATCAGCATACTCTCAAAGCTCATTCACGCTCACGTTAAAGTAAAATACGATGTTTTGCACCAGGTTTGGTCTTCACATATCATGTCATTGACATCAAACCCTTTAAAACAGAGGTTTTCAGACTGGAGCCCACCAGGGACTGCAACAAACAAATTTCACCTTTAAAAAAAAAGAAGAATTAAAAATTACAATTTGAGAATTAACCTGCTTTTTGGAATGCATCTTACCTAATTGCAGTACAATACTATTGAGCTATAAAACATAAAATAAAATAAATAATATACAAAATACATTATTATTATTTACTGTAATAATAATGTATAATTTAATATATAATCAATATATAATTTATATATAATCTACAGATAGATAGATAGATAGATAGATAGAAATCATTTTTTATACCTGGCATTGAAACTGCTTTTGAATGCATGATTGCTTTATAGTTTCGCTTTCGAGATTCGCAATCGCAAGTATTCTGTTTATACTATGGAGCGGCAGTACTTACCACACATTTTACAAGATTAGATGTTTGCTTTAAAATGAAGAAAGCTGGATTAAATTGACACACGGATCTATAAAGGTAATTTCTGGCTGTCTAATAGGACTGGGCTGTATATCATATATACTATGTGACAGCAGGAATGTGTTGAGCATGAAAGAATCTGCTATGTCGTTTATACTGCAACACTTTTAAAACCATCAGATTTCAAGTAGAAACAATAGCCTGCTTTCCAAAGTCTCACCGATTGTTCTAGTGTTGACAGCTTCATTCATTATAATGGAGACACAGTGTAACCATAGCTTTGCCAAGCAATGCTCTGTTCTGTCATATTAATATGGTACATGTTAAAAAACATGGTTCCGCCGATGTCATCGTTCATCGTGATGTTTCTCTGTAGACATCGTCAGATGCCAATTTTGTTGACATCGCACAACCCTATCTGTTAACATTACTTAATGAACATTAAACAAACCTGAACAATTGTATTTCTAATAACAACTAATGCTTTAACGTTAAAAAATTAGACCTTATTGTAAAGTGTTACCAAAATAACTATTTAGTGATATATACACTTACTGTGATACAAAACTACTGTAAGTTTCCTTTTCTACTGCCCACCGCTAGCATCGAAGTGTCCCACCAGGAGGAACTTCACTGAAGCATGTTGAAACGCTCTTACTCACATGCTTTTAACAGGCACAATCGCTCTCAATATTTCAGCACGCAGGCATATGTGCGTTAACACGTGTGTGTGGTAAACACTCACATAACGTGTGTTTTCAAGCATGTGCACTTAAAATGGCCACAAACTTCCCGGCAGGAAGAGCACCGGATAGCTCTCTCTCCATCTATCCGTCTCTCTCCCGGAGGGTGTTGACCCAGCTGACCCCACTCTCAGAGACGATTCCTCCTCTAACAGCCTTTCATAGGTCTCCATCACCATACAAGTGCTGCTGGGCACACTGAACAAATCACAGCCCCCTTCACATCTACAGCTCATTCTGCACGAACGGCCTAAAAAGTTCAGCTCAACAGAGTATATGCCTGACCCTGTGTGACAGTGTTTTGAAATATGTAACTCATGCTGGGTAACTGCATTAACTCATATATCTCTCTCCACTTGACTGTATGGAAATATAGAGCTCTCCATAGCGACCTGCTACTGGCTGAGTGAGGACTAGTGCTTTAAGCAATTTAATGCAAAATTCAAATTGCCTTCTCTTGAATAACTACAGTGACAGTTTTATACATTATAAGGCTTACATATTCATAGCTGTACCTTTAAAGAGCAAATAATGCATTAAACATTGACTCTAAATATCAAGTGTTATATTATTTGTTATCACATATTACATTGCATATAATACTTGGGTAACCATGAAAAGATTTATAGATAAATTATTATAATTGTAACAATTATTCATAAACATTCCTACTACTTGTTTCACTTCTGTTTCAGTTTTTTATAACCATAAACAATCAGTAATATTATTAAATTAATATAATAAATTAATTAGAATTAATAAAAACAAACATATCTCTTTAAATATAACAACAAACTAAAATAAAGAACACATTTAAAGGCTAAATTTAATATATTTACTGTTTAAAATGGTGTTTCACATCTGTATCTACATCATGTAGGCCTATTGAATGACTGGAATATACT